AAGGAATTAAATTAAATAATGAAAAATGCTACTTTGGTAAACTAAAGCTGAATTATCTGGGACATGAAATCTCAGAAGAAAAATTAAAAACTGTACAGAGCCATTTAATATAAAACAATTACAATCTTTCTTAGGATTAGTGGGTTATTATAGGAACTTTATTAAATTTTTTGCAACTATAGCTGCTCCGCTATATGCAAATTTAAAAAAAAATCAAGTATGGAAATAGTCAGAAAACCAACAAAATGCATTTGATAGTTTAAAAAATACTTTATTGAAATCACCTATATTAATTTTACCAAATTTGAAAAAGAGATTTATACTGATTACTGATGCATCGGATTATGGAATAGGTGCTATATTAGTCCAAGAAATAGAAAATACAGCACCCTATTGAGTATGCAAGTATAACTTTAAATAAAGCTGAAAAAAACTATTCAGTCACTCAGAAGGAAGCATTAGCGTTAATCTGGGCACTTAAAAAATTTAAATATTATTTATTAGGAAGTAAAGTGAATATAAAAACAGATCATTTACCTTTAAAGGGATATTTTAATACAAATGAGTCACAAGGTCGTTTAGCAAGATGGATAATAACTTTAAGTGAATTTGACTACGTAATTGAATATTGCCCTGGAAAAAATAACATATCAGATCATCTATCTAGAAACCCAAAAAGAGAGGTAGAAAACCCAGTATTAATTATGAGCATAGTAGAATATGAAAATTTAAAATATCAAGTGCATACTCAACCTAAGAAGCAAGCAAACTATAAAATACAAGAGGGCAATATCTTAAAATATTCAAAAAAATTTGGTTGGAGAAGGTTATTAAACGAACTCAATGCCGAAAAAATAATAAAGGAATTACATAGTTTAAGACATACCGGCATAAATAATACAATGAACAAGGTTAAGAAAAACTATACTAGCGAAAAGTTATTTGAATTAGTAAAGAAAATAGTAAAAAAATGCGAAGTATGTCAACGTTTCAACGGAGGTGTAAAAAAAAAAAATGAACTGCATCAACTTTTTGTAGAAAAGCCTTTTGAAGTAATGGGCGTAGATGTAATTGGGCCAATAAGTCCCAAAACTGAACTTGGAAACAGATACATAATAACAGCCGTTGATTACGCAACCAGATTGCCAATTGCAAGAGCATTGCCTGAAATAAAAACTGAGGACGTAATTAATTTTTTAACCACTGAGGTTGTGCAGAATTACGGAGCACCAATGCAATTAATTAGTGACAGAGGTAGTAATTTTATGTCTGAAGCCACTAGGGAATATCTTAATTTTATTAACACCAAACATACACCAACCACTAGTTATCGACCTCAATCTAACGGTATGGTCGAGCGATTTAACCAAACATTATGTGCTGTATTAAAAAAAATCTCCAATCATGATATACAAAACTGGGATCAATATCTCTGGAAAGCATTATTGGTTATTAGAAGTACACCAAATAGAATTACCAATATTTCACCCAGTGAATTGCTGTATGGAATAAAAATCAAATTGCCAGAAGAAGAATTAGCCTATGAAAGAACAACAAATGACAGCCAATTAATTAAGCACGCCAGTTGGATTCAAAATAAACTGCCGCAAATTAGAATCAAAGCCTATCAAACAGCAGTAAAAAATAAAAAGCCAGACGAAGTCCGGTATAACAAAAAAGTTAAAATCACAGTATATTTAATAGGCGATCAAGTACTAAAATTTAATGAAAAACAGAAAAATTTGATATACGCTGGGAAGGACCATTCACTATAATCAAATTAGGACAAAATGTCACATATGTTATACAAGACACAGAAGGAAACCACGAAACGGTAAATGGTGACAGAATGAAGTTGTACCATTACTCAAAAAATATGATACCAGATATCATATCAAAAACGCACACTCTTAAGACGTACCGCGAGATAAATTCAAGTTTGTAACTTTATTTCCGAAGGGGGGTGTCGTGTAAAAAATTCGATAAAAATGATAAAACAACAATTAATCAAGCCATGATTAAGCCAAATTAACAATTATATAGTAGATCAACCGATAACTATATATGATTTAACGATTATTGCTAACAACAGAAGGTTATGTTAAAAGTATAAAAAGGTTAGTAAAGCATTGTCGAAAAAACACCCACAAACAGAAAAAGAACAAAAAATATATTACCATCTTAAAAAATTCTATATTACTTTAAAACTATTACTTACAAATTAGCTTAGCTATAACTTTTATAAAACTTAAATAAAAATCTTAAAAAACTCCAAAAACAACAAAAAATATTAAAAATGAATAAAAATACGTCACTAGTAAAAACACTCGACACATGTCATACAATAAGCACGACTTGAAACAGGCACTTTTGTGTAACTGTTTTATAATATAGAACTCCTATCTAATATATGCTTTTTCCTGACTCAAGGTTTTTTTACATATATAAGATAGAAGTTTCAAACAGATGGAGGGGACTTTTTTCTCTTACCAAGATATAAAATTTCATATATACACATTTTACGATAAGATATACTTTATAAAATAAATATAAATAATTATAAAAAACCATTAAAACACGAATATACAAAAAAAGTAAAGCATCAAGCTAAACATATAGGATTATAATACTAACATACGTATATAATCCATACCAAAAGTCTGCCAATTGAACCCGAGATTAGATTGAGTTAGTTTAACCTATATTCGACTACTAACAAAATTATATCACACTAGCTTCTTTAGCTCAGTTGGTTAGAGCGTGGTGCTAATAACGCCAAGGTCACAGGTTCGACCCCTGTAAGGAGCATTCTCTCGGATAGTATAGTGGTAAGTATCCCAGTCTGTCACATTAAAGACCCGGGTTCAATTTCCCGGTCCGAGAGTAGCCTTCTTGGCTCAGTTGGCAGAGCGTCTGCTGTCGTGAATAGTGACTAGAACGAATCTAGGCGTGGCCACGCTTGGAAAGACTGATAGTCACTATTGAAAGTAAAGGGGGAGACAAGCATACGAGACTCCATGCGATAATAGGAGTTGAAGTTAATGCGGAGTCTAATAAAGAGGGGCAGTGGTCCGCCTGGAATGGTCTATAAGGACAGGCGGAAATAATAGAAAACAGAACTTCATGTTAATGATTCTAGTCTCTATTGTAGCAAATAAAATGGTAAGCAAAC